TTCGTGTCAATAACGTATCCTTGTAATGCAACCACAGCTCTACTCCAATCTCATTTTTCTGGCCAATCAAATGGTGTTTACTCCTGATTTTCCTAGTTATCCATATCCCATTCAATACACGGGCACACACACCAATAATACTATGGTACGCAACGGAACAAAGCTAGTGGTACTTCCCTTAATACTAGCGTAGAGCTAATTCTGCAGGACACAAGCATACTGGTGTGGAAGCCACCCTCTTCACTTGCATGGCTTCAATTTCTTCATTGTTGGTCAAGGTTTGGAAATTTGATCACAATAAGGACCCTGCAAACTTCAATCATTGACCCTATAGAAAGGAACACAGTGGGCGTGCCCGGGGGGGTGGGTGGCATTCCGGTTCCTCGCAACAATCCTGGGGGTAACAGATCATGCATAATAAACCATTACATGAAAACATTCACACATTCCTGTTAAATGAAGAAACTTATCAAAATCTTTTAGTATTATGCATTTTCTCTTACCTGAATTATCCAATTATATAAATACAGGAGTGTGGTTCATGCACTGCCACCTGGAAGTTACACCAGTGGGGTTTGAAGATGGCCTGGATTGTCTTAGATGGAAAGCTTCCCAATCAGAAGCTACTTCCCCCCAGCTGATCTTCCCAAGTGTTAAAACAATCTCACTCATCTCAGCCGTTCATTCTAAGCAGTTTTTTTGTTAATGATTTCTCCACCAATTAATTCTTTGACCCTATTTTTCTTGTTTGCCTCGGCTGATTTAAGCCCAATGATGGATTGCTCATGGATGTTTGAGTTTAACAGGGAAGAGAAAGCTGACAGTTTCTTTTTTTCTTTTTTTTTTTGGTTTGATTAATTTCTTTTTGTAATAATCAATGATAATTTCAAGCAATATTTACCATGAGGTGGTGAATATATATTTTAGAAAGAAATTTCTTTTTTGTTCATTTTGACCCTGACAGTCATGTAACGCCCAACATGGAGGTACATGATTTAAATTATGTTTTATAGCCCTTAATTAATTTTTATTAGTTATTTTAAGAGAATATGAAGAAAATGCCTTAAATTTGCATTAAGGGAAATTGATATTTTCACTCAAAATTAGTTGAAAAAGTGGGAAGTGAAAAAAAGTATAATTTCATAAAGAATACAATAAAAATGAGGGCATTATGGTAATTGACTAAGGACAAGGATGGAATTTTCATAAAAGTGTAAGGGCAAAATGGGAAAGTGAGTTTATAAAATAAGATGATAAGGGTTTGTAACTCTTATTCCTTCATTCCCCTACCCCACCTACTCCCCATTTTCTTCAATTTTCATTCAATCCTCCAAGGATTTTGAGGGTTTTGAGTGTTTTTAATAGGGTTTGATTAAGACTTCAAAGGTAAGATTCATGCTCTTTATCTATAATTTATTTGTGTAAGAGTTGAGTTTTTATGAAGTTTAGGCTTAGGGTTAGAAGAAGTTTTGAATCCAACAAGAGTAAGAGCTTAGTAGAGAAGAACTCAAGCATAAAGTAAGTAAATTCCACTCAAAATCCAACTCAAGTTAAGTTAAGAATTCAAGTGAGTAGAGATTTCTTTTAGTATGCATATGTTATGGTTATTGAGAAATTGAGATGAGATTGATGATGATTATGCTTGTGTAGATATATTTGAATATGAGAAGTGTATGTGATGGTTTGATGATGGGTTGAAATTGGAAGAATGGAGGAATTTTTGAGGATGTGTTTGCCGTGTAGGTATGGTGATGCTCAAGAGAGATTTTCTCTCATTTTGTGATGGTTGAGAAACAAATTGAATGATAATTAAATTAGGGTTTGTTATGCACAAGTAATGTTTGATGAAATGCCTAAGAGAAGTATAAGTTTGAGTAGAAACCTTAATTTTATGAACATTGCAATTTGCAATTTCATGAGTATCCAAGTAAGAATTTCAAGCATGAGTCATCCATATGCATATAATTGTGTATGTGTAGAAATTTAAGAAAGAATAGAGAATAAAGACATAAAGAATAAAGCAAGAAAGAATAAAACACTCTAAGAATAAAGAGAAATGAAGAATAAGCATTAAAGAATTAAGGAGTGGTAAAGAAGAGAAAAGAATAGGTTGTTATGATGGGGAATCGTGAGTGCTAAGAAGAAATTCCCACATACACGACACCTTAATTGAGTGGCATAAGAAGAAGAAGAATTGTACGACTCGTAAAAGTGTATGTGGATGAGGATTGTACCAAGAAGAATTTTCTACATGCATGCCACCTTAATTGAGTGGCCTAAGAAGAAAGAAGAATTTGTACGGTCCTCAAGAGTGCATGTAGATGAGGACTATACTCACTTACATGGCCAAGGTTCCAAATCTATACATCAACCGAGACCGATCGGCAAAGAATAAGAGAGAAAAAGAAAGAATAAGAGAGAATAAGAATAAGAAAGAATAAGAATGAGGAAAGAAAGAATAAGAAAGAATAAGAATAAGAAAGAATGAGAAGGCTTGAACAAGCCAAGAGAAGAAAAGAAAAGAAAAGAGAAACAAGAGAAGAAAAAACAAGAAAGAAAAGAAAAGAAATAGAACAAGAAAATGGAAATAAGAAAGAAAAAGCATTTTATGCATTATTGCATATGCATTTTATTCATGCATATTGCCATGAATTTCATCATGGTTAGGAAGAATAGAAAGAATAAGAAAGAAAGAACAGAGAGAAATAGAAAGAAAGAAAAGAGCAGTGAGAGTAAGAAACAGAGGAAGAAACAGTGAAAGAAAAGAGAAGAAATTAAGTAAGGAAAGAACCAAAGAAGGAGAAGAGTTAAGGGATTTACTTATTGAGCATTTTTATGCTCACCCCGTTGTTTTTCCATGTTTTTGCAGGACATAGGTGAGCAGCGGTCGGAGGAACGTTGACAAGCGGAGAGGATTGGCATTACTGTCCACCGTTGCTAAGTTTTTGTACTAGTTATTTTTTATATATGTAAATAATTATGTTTTGTAAGTAAAGAAAACTTTGGACCCAACTATTTTCATATACTAAGTATGTATGTTTTATTGTATATGTTATAAAAAAATACTAGTAGAAAGAAGTCATTACATGTCAGAAAGTATTATTTTAATGAAAAATATTGGGAGATATTTGAACATATTACATATATAGTGTGACTTATTATTCAAAGGTACTAAGTTCAATCTACCCGGGTTGTTAATAAGGGTGGTCTAGCAGTCAACTAAGAGTCTTAGATGCACTATTCAAAGGTTCTAAGTTCGATCCACGTGGGTTGTTGATAGGGGTAGCCATTGAGCGGATTTATCCGACCATCAACTTCAAAGTCCTGAAAGAATAGTTGAAATGCAGCAAATTGGCCTGGACACCCTGATCACCACAAAAAAAAAAAAAAAAAAAAAAATGCTAGTGGTTAGCAATTACTTACGATAATGTTGATACGAGAGTTTTAACTTATATAATTAACCAGAATAAAATTCATCTAAAAGAAATTGAATCTGTATATGCTTGAAATGATAAAATATTTTAATCCTAGACTCTGCTGTTATGTAGAAAATAAAAGTAATAATTCCGTAATTGTACCATTAACCAAAAAAATTCTTATTTCCAAAAATCTATAAAGTAATATGACGTAATTATTTCGAAATGCCGAAATATTTAAAAGACATTCAAAAAAAGGCTATTTAAGTACAACCCCTGAGGTTTCATACTAAAAACCCCAACACCCACATGTTAAAGAAAGACACAGACATCTCCCCATGTTTCAACAATTCTCACCAATCTTCTATCCAAGCTATTATCTAATGGAAAATTGAAGCTGAAGAGAGGTAAACGATACCATTTACAATGCTGGTATTTAGGGGGGAAAAGAAAAAAGAAAAAAGAAGAAGAAGTTACCAAAATATTCTATCGATTTTTTTCATATTTTCATGTACTTTTAAATTTACATAAAATACTATAAATTAAATAATACAGTAGCTATTACTGCTAGCTACTACAGCCTACTTATAAATTAGGTAATTTTTCAAGCAAGCCTAATCTTAATTTCTGTTTGTTTGGATTTATCTATCAATCAATTTTTTTTTAAAGGTCAAAAACCTTTTATGATATTTACCGGCAGAGTCTTCTATATTATGGACTTGAAAATGACTTCTTTTATCCTATATTCTACGCTAAATAACTTCATATTTATTAGATTTGATATTCCTTATTAACTAGGTACGTCAATTTGGTATTCAGTATTATTTAATCAAATGAACTGAGGTGAAGCTAGAGAAGAAAAAAGACAATCCTGGTTCGAGAGGGACTCTTGGGTTAATTACTCAATAAGTTTTGAGTTCGAATCTCTCTTCGATTGTTAATAGAGGTAATCATTAGAGTTTTTACTCGACAGGTAGTTCTATAGTCTTAGAAGATTAGTTGAAGTACGCGTAAACTGGCTCGAACACTCCGATCATTAAAAAAAAAAAAAAAAAAAAAGGAGGACAATCGTGAAATACAATTCCCATCTTTCAGTTGATTTTGTTCTTGAACAATACCAAAATAAGTTGGATTTTGCTTTCAAAGTCAAGTCTCATTGATTTGAACTTTTCACCAATATCAGGGAACGGGCGAGGCGAATACCAAATACCAATGTTGTTGTGATCAAAATCATTAATATTTTTGTGCATGGCAGTATGATATATCAGAAGCGAAAAGTTTCCTGAAGGTTATAAATTAGCTGATAATCAAGGTTTCACTTGAAAGAAAGGCGGTCAGACATATTAATTGGTTGCCTTTGACACCACTCTAAAGTCGTTCTAACAACTAGTCATCGAGCTGTTCTTGTTTTTTTTCTGTACTTTTAAACTATAAAATTTTATCACCTAATGGGCAATTGAACCTTCCTCAATTCTGTATATATATGCTACCGTATAAGCTTTCATGAATACATACTCAAGGAATACATCCCTCAGCTCTCTTGACCTCAATTACTTAATTCTCTAAAGAAAAAAGGGGGAGAGAGAAATGGGTGTTTTTCTACTTCAATCATCAGCAGTTTTTGGAGTCCTGTTTTCTTTAATCACCTTGTCTCTACTTGTTGAGCCTGCACTTAGTATCACCAGGCACTACAAGTTTGATGTATGTGTGATTAAGATGACCCTGAAAACTAATTTTTGTGGCTACTATTCTTTTTTTTTTTTTTTTTTTTTTATCTCTTAACATTGTTTTATCAAAATATTGCGTAGATCAAATTGCAAAATGTGACGCGTCTGTGCCATACCAAGAGCATTGTATTAGTAAATGGGCAGTTTCCAGGGCCTCGCGTTGTTGCAAGGGAGGGCGACCAGCTTCTTATCAAAGTCGTTAACCATGTCCAGAACAATATCTCCATCCATTGGTATAAATACATGCACACTGATGAGATTATTATTATTTTTAGCTATCTATTACAAAATGATATAATACACATTTAAGAAGAAAAAAACATTTTAGCTCTTATAGGCATTGCAAGTTATATGGTTTGTTTGTAACAGGCATGGCATTCGGCAGCTTCAAAGTGGATGGGCTGATGGTCCAGCATATATAACTCAATGCCCTATTCAAACAGGGCAGAGCTATGTTTACAACTTCACCGTTGTTGGCCAGAGAGGTACACTGTGGTGGCATGCCCATATATCATGGCTAAGATCAACTATCTATGGTCCCATCATCATTCTTCCCAAGCGTGGTATTCCTTATCCATTTGCGAAACCTTACAAGGAAGTTCCCATCATCTTTGGTAATTATAACTATAAACAAGATACTTTTGGAATTTACCAAAATTAAGCAACTTTGCCAATCAGAATTTATTTACAGAAACAATAATGTATAAATTGCAGGAGAGTGGTTTAATGGAGATACTGAGGCTATCATTAGCCAGGCCCTTCAAACAGGTGGAGGCCCAAATGTGTCTGATGCCTATACTATCAATGGACTTCCTGGGCCTTTGTATAATTGCTCTGCTAAGGGTATTAAAGTCTACATAAAGACATTAATTGTCAATACCATTTTTCAAGTGGAAATATCATATTGGTCAAGTGCATTTATTTGATTTTCTGTAACTCTATGCTCGCAGATACATTCAAGCTGAAGGTGAAGCCTGGAAAAACCTACCTTTTACGTTTAACCAATGCTGCACTCAATGATGAGCTTTTCTTCAGCATAGCAAATCACACTGTTATAGTTGTGGATGTGGATGCTGTTTATGTTAAACCTTTCGAAACTGAAACACTACTCATTGCCCCTGGTCAGACAACAAATGTTCTTCTGAAAACCAGATCCCATTACCCAAGTGCAACATTTTTAATGACTGCTAGGCCTTATGTGACTGGTCAAGGCACTTTCGACAATTCAACTGTTGCTGGTATTTTACAGTATGAAAAACCACGCAACTTTCGTTCTAGCAACTCCATCAAAAATCGTCCACTCTTTAAACCAGTTTTACCTCCTCTCAATGACACATCCTTTGCTACAAAATTTTCAAATAAACTTCGTAGCTTGGCAAGTGCACAATTCCCCGTCAATGTGCCCCAAAAGGTTGACAAGCAATTCTTCTTCACGGTAGGCTTAGGAACAAGTCCATGCCACAGCAACGAAACCTGCCAAGTGTGACGCCTCTCAAGCATTTCATCGAACACTTGGTGTGCGTCACCCGGACATTCTAGAAGCTTCCGGAANATTGTTACATCAAACGTTTTTCCGTCACTTTAAGGGTGGGAATCTGGAATAAATGAAACCAGTGGTACTAACTTGGGATTTCGTCAAACCTTGGGTGGGAACATGTTGTTTACTCAATAAAGAAACCTAATATCATGAGATGAAATTCCTCCAACTAGGGTGTAGCCAAGATTTCAAGACAATATGATTAAAAAATCTAAGTTGATAAATTTGTAATAAAATATATATTAGAATAATAAGTATAAAAATATATAATCTAAATATTTAATTTTAAAAATTATACATACCAAATTATCAATTCTATAATTGTTCTCAACGATTTTTCATATTTTGAAAACGTTGCATAATTGATTTATTGGCAATGCCATCAAATATCTCTTTCAATAAATGTAATTAAATAATTATTTAACAATTGATCTCTCGTTCGATTTCGTGGTTGAAATCTACGAATTTCATCTTCCAATTTCAAACTTATTTATTAAACTCAACAAAAATCAAACGTATTACCCAAAACTAACTAAACCTAGCTCATTCAATATTCAATTATGTCAATTACATACATAAAATGATTAAAACAACCTAGGGCAACATAACTCATAATCTTTCATCAATTAAGAAGAAGAAGATATTTTAAAGCAAAATAACAAAAAATGAGCTTCATCTTATCTTGTGACCTCCAAATGAGTAGTTTTTCTTAATTAATCAAACCAAATGAAGAAAAAAGTATGAGAAAATATAAGAGGAATTGAGGAAGAGAGAAAACGTGAAAAAAATTGGTACTTTTGAATCCTAAAATCAATAAAAAATAGAAATATCTTAGTGAGGTTAATAAAATATGAATAATTTTAATAGGATCAATATAAATTTTAATGAGAACAAAATTGTTAATTACTATAAAAAATTCACATACTTTAAATGATTTCATAATTTAAACGGGTCAAGTGACCCAATGATATTTCGGCTATACCCCTGCTTCCAACTCTGCCTTGGGTGACGCTTCTCAAGCATTTCATCAAACACTTGGTGTGTGTCACTCGGACATTCTAGAAGCTTCCGGAATACTCTTGTATATGCTAGAATCTTGTAATTAATGTGGTAGTTGGTAGATAGTAGTTGGTAGGTGGTAGTTGGGAGTTAGCTAATCTCCACCGTTGATCTCGGACGATCTAGACCATTCATTGTATACTCCAACTACTATAAAAGGGGGAGGCTTTTATTTGGCCAAACCATCCAAGAATTGTAAAGTTCTCTCAATTAGTAAAGAGTTCTCTTCTAGCATCTCTTGTGAGTTTGTGTGAGTGTTTTCTTACTTGCAAGGCTAGGAGCGTGAGCAAGCAAGGTTGACTTAGGGCAATCGTTCGGGGATTAGCACCTAAGGGCTGAACGAGTCTGAAGGAAAGCAATCGGGTCGTTACAGTTGGTATCAGAGCAGGAAGATTCTTGGTTCAAGATGTCGTCCGAAGTTTACCATGAAGAGCAAAGGGGGAGGGAAGCCAATCCTAACCCCAACCTTTCCAAGAAGAACTCTCGAGGAGGGAAGGACAAGTCCGTGGACGTGATTGCCTCCATGGAAGCACGGGTGATGCGCAACGAGGTGAATGTTGCCGAAGTGAAGGAACACCTCGACGTCCTCGATCAAAAGATGGACGATGTTGAAGGCATGGTCGAAACCATGGGAGAGTTTCGCCAACATGTTGCCGATAAGCATCAAGCTTTTGAGGAGTTCCAAGCGGTGGTGTTGGACTCTCTCAAGACATTACAAGCTCAAGTGGAAGAGCTCCGATCGGGTCTAGAAGAAAGCAAGGGCGATTGGGCGTTTTGTAAGAGGGCGGTGGCAAACGGGGTTGTCACCAATGCCGCACCTCCCGCAAGGGTCGAAGTTCCAAGACCGCGGAAGTATGGGGGAAAGTGGGATGCCCAAGAGCTAGAGAACTTTCTATGGTCCATGGAGAGGTACTTTGAAGCTACTAATGTCCAAAGTGAGCAAGAGAGGGTGAACATTGCAACCGGATATCTTGAGGACCATGCAATTGCGTGGTGGCAACGGAAGCATGCTGAGATTATGCAAGGCACAATACTTGGGAGTTACTCAAGTGTGAAATCAAAAAGCAATTCTATCCGGGCAACGTAGCATATGAGGCACGAAAGAAGATGCAGGAACTCAAACACACGGGGCCTATTTCCAGGTATGTGGATGAATTCTCTAAACTTATGCTTCAAGTTGATAACATGAACTCGGAAGATTTGCTATTCAACTTTATGGAAGGGCTCCAACCCTGGGCACAAAGGGAGCTCCAAAGGCGTCAAGTAGCCAATATCTCCTCAGCCCTTACCGAAGCCGACACCCTTGTTGAGTTCCGCAAGGGAGAAACATCCAAGCCGAAGAAGGATTGCAAGTCCGATCATGGCAAAGGTGGGGGAGGAAAGGGAGACAAATCATCCCACCGAGAAAAGGGAGATAAGCCGCCTCACAAGAAAGAATGGCGGAAGGATGGCAAGAAGGAATACAAGCACCGTGAGAATTGTTATCTCTGTGATGGGGACCATTGGATCCGTGACTGCCCCAAGCGCAAGGCCTTCAATGCCATGTTCGAAGAGAAACAACCTGAGACATCCACATCCAAGACTGCCAATATGGGATGCCTCCAACTTCTCAATGCCTTGAAGGTAAAGCCCGCACAACCAAAAGTTCAAGATAAGTCCCTCATGCATGTCGAAGCCACCATCAACGAGAAGAAAGTTCAAGCCTTATTGGACACGGGTGCTTCCCACAACTTTATCAAAGATAGTGAGGCAAGACGGTTAGGCCTCAAGGTGGAGAAATCAGACGGATGGCTCAAGACAGTGAATGCTGAAGCTAAACCACTTGGGGGTGTGGCTCGGAATGTTGAGCTACATCTTGGCACATGGAGCGGCAAGGTATCATTTTCTGTTGCACCTTTAGATGATTTTAACCTTGTTCTTGGCATGGAGTTTCTCAGGCAATTCAATGCGGTACCCCTATCGCGATACAACTCTATATGCATCCTTGAGGGAGTCCCGTGCATGGTTCCGACATTGAGCAAAGCCGCACCAAGCAACCAACTCTCCGCAATGCAAATTGAGAAGGGACTAAAACGAAAGGAAGAGACCTTTCTCGCCATGGTGCATGAGTTGGAGGACGAGGGAGGTGTGGACAACACAGAGCCAATCCCGGGGGAAATATCCCAAGTCCTTGAAGAATACAAGGATGTCATGCCATCCGAGTTGCCAAAATGCTTACCACCTAGGAGGGAGGTGGACCATAAGATTGAGCTAGAGCCGGGAGCCAAACCACCAGCCAAAGCTCCATACCGGATGTCGCCACCAGAATTAGACGAGTTGCGGAGACAACTCAAAGAACTCTTAGAGGCCGGATTTATCAAGCCTTCAAAAGCACCATATGGAGCTCCGGTCCTCTTTCAAAAGAAGCATGATGGGTCGTTTCGCCTTTGCATCGACTATCGGGCACTTAACAAGGTAACCATCAAAAACAAATATCCCATTCCACTAATTGCCGATTTGTTTGATCAACTTGGACAGGCCAAGTACTTTTCTAAGCTTGATTTGAGGTCGGGGTATTACCAAGTGCGGATTGCGGAAGGGGATGAGCCGAAGACCGCATGTGTGACGCGTTACGGAGCCTTCGAGTTTAAAGTCATGCCATTCGGCCTCACCAATGCCCCTGCCACGTTTTGCACCCTCATGAACCACATTTTTCATCCATATCTTGATCGGTTCGTGGTGGTTTACCTCGACGACATTGTGGTGTACAGCAACACTCTTGAGGAGCATACCGAGCACCTGTGGACAGTTTTCCATGTGTTGCAAGAAAATAAGCTATATGTCAAGCGGGAGAAGTGTTCATTTGCCAAGCCGGAGGTAGAGTTTCTCGGCCACAAGATCACTGATGGGAAGCTCATCATGGACAAAGCCAAGGTGAAGGCTATTGCGGAGTGGGAAGCTCCAACAAAGGTTACCGAGTTGCGCTCTTTCTTTGGCCTGGTCAACTATTATCTGAGATTTATCAAAGGCTATTCTACCATTGCCGCACCACTCACGGATTTGCTTAAGAAGGCCATAAAATGGGAGTGGACGGTTGATCGCCAACAAGCCTTTGACACTTTAAAAAGGGCCATCATGGAGGAGCCGGTGTTAGCATTGCCCGACCATGCTCGACCATTTGAGGTACATACTGACGCATCCGATTTTGCTATTGGAGGTGTGTTAATGCAGGAAGAACATCCCATAGCCTTTGAGAGCCGGAAGCTCAATGATACGGAGCGGCGATACACGGTGCAAGAGAAAGAGATGACAGCTGTGGTGCATTGTCTACGCACTTGGCGGCATTACTTACTTGGGTCCAAGTTTTTGGTAAAGACGGATAATGTGGCAACGAGCTACTTTCAGAGTCAGAAGAAGCTCAGTCCCAAGCAAGCTAGATGGCAAGACTTCCTGGCCGAGTTTGACTATGTGTTAGAGTACAAGCCCGGGAAAGCCAACTTGGTAGCAGATGCATTGAGTCGGAAGGCCGAGTTTACAGCCATAAGCAAGATACAAGGGGATCTTCTCCAGCTTATAAAGGAAGGTCTCGAGCATGACGCATTGGCCAAGCAACTTGTTTCTTTAGCTCAAGGTGGCAAGACCAAGCGCTTTTGGGTAGAAGATGGCCTCTTGTACACCAAAGGAAGAAGGGTGTATGTTCCAAAGTGGGGAAATTTGCGGAGGAACTTAATCAAGGAGTGTCACGACACCAAATGGGCCAGACATCCAGGACAAAGGCGCACTCGAGCACTGTTGGAAGCAGCTTATTATTGGCCACAAATGCGGGACGATGTGGAGCAGTTTGTACGAACTTGTCTTGTGTGCCAACAAGACAAAGTGGAACACCAAAGTCCCGCAGGATTACTGGAACC